AAAAAAAACAATGCTTTTGTACTAAGAAACGTCATTAATAAAAAGTAAACAATAAATGACAATCTGAAAATATTGTCTTCAACAAACATGATAGACAAAGGGTTGATGTCTTTAGTAAGAAAGTACTCATAAGTAAAACAAGATAAAAAGTAAATATCCAAATAGAAAAATTGAGCAAAGTACATGGACTAGAATTTTACAAAAGTAGAAATAAAAAATGCCTAATAAACATTTGAAAGAATAGCTTAATCTGATTATTAATTTCTAAATGTTAATTAAGATAAGAAACCATTTTCACCTATCAAACTGTCAAAGCATAGCACGTGATAGTGCTCAGGCTGGCGGAGATGGATGTGACACACTAAACACCACTGGTGGGAGTGTGGTCATATGTATAAACAGCCTAAAAATGCTCATAGCCTTCAATGCAGTAAATCTACTTGTAGTCCTCTATTGTAAAGATTTATAGATAAGGATATTTATCACCACACTATTAATAACAACAAAAAAATTGTAAACTACCTAAATGTTCAGCAAGAGAAGAGTTATTCATTCTTAAGATAGAATACTTTGTAGCCATTAAAAACAAAGGCTTTAAAATGTTTGATGCTTTTTCTAAAATAAATAAGTTCTAATTATTATAATCAGAAAGATATTCTTAAAGCAAAACATTGACAAAATTTAAATTATTTATTTGACTAAAAATCACAGGAGACCAATATTTGGAAATCATTTTATATCTGCCATTTTCATGGGCAAATGCATATATTAAATAAAATCTGCAAATGTGAAAAGTAATAGCTATAGATATACAAGAGTATAGACATTTTTATAAATATGCTTAATTTGCTTTTTAATAGCTGGATATAGAGATTATAGAGAAGAAGTACAGATAATTAGTAAATCTCTATTTATATACACTTCTTGTACAGTACAATTTATCTTGAAATCTTACAGGACTGGGATTAGAATGAGGCAAGTGAGGCTCTTGCCTGGGGCCCATAATTTAAGGGAGTACCCATAAACCTCAGTAATCAAGATAAATAATATTGAATACGCTATTTTAAAATATCCAAATTAATCCAAAAAGGTCTATTATGAACAAAAAAAACCCCCAAAATACCAAAATCTTAAAGACTATTGCTGTGCTGAGCCATGTAAGAGACTAAAGCAAAAGGAAAAATATACTCCCTTATATATGTGCTTTTGTGTATTTTTTATGATTAATTTTTTTGGAGAACACCAAGGTAGTTGAAAAACTAGTGAAAAATTAAAAAGTAGTTGTGTGAATAAATACATTATTTGAAGTTTAAACATTTTTATACCAAATACGGCATTTATTTTAATTTGACTTTAATAGAAGCATCAATAATATTTAAAAATCTAGTTCTTTGCTTATTTTCAATTGAGATACTGCCATGTTTGAAGTATTTACAGTTGTCACTTGGTCAAGAGAAATTGGCTGAGATTGCACTAAAGTTGAAATCACATTTGGCACGCTTTTGTGAAGTTTGGCCTACATAGATTTCTACTCTTGTTAGTTTCAATTAATTATTTAGCCACTAAATCCACTAAAAATTTAATATCTCAATTCAGGCTTTACCCTTTACCATGTTTTATTTTGCTTTCTGGTATGTTGTTTTCAACAGTTGGAACGGGAACTGGCTGAACTAAAGGGATCTGGCAAAGGGCACAGTGCTAGATCCAATAACAATAAAGTAACTGAGCTTGAAAAATCAAAGAATTATGAAACTGTCACAGAAGAACCAAGTCTTCAACAGAAGATAACGACCAAACTAAATGTCTTGAATGAAAGGGTAGCATTCTGGAACAAAAAATTAGATGAGTATGTTTAATGAATTGTCAGTTGTTCAGATTTGAAACATGAGAAAATAAGAATAAAGTAACTGAGCTTGAAAAATCAAAGAATTATGAAACTGTCACAGAAGAACCAAGTCTTCAACAGAAGATAACGACCAAACTAAATGCCTTGAATGAAAGGGTAGCATTCTGGAACAAAAAATTAGATGAGTATGTTTAATGAATTGTCAGTTGTTCAGATTTGAAACATGAGAAAATAAGATTGTTCAGGGCCATAAATTGAGCTCAGTTCCCTTCTTCAGGAGTGGAAAGAACTATAGTAGGAAGTAAATAAAGCATAAAACGTGTTCCTAGTTCCAGTTCCTAGTACATAGAGGCATCATGGGTTCAAAGCTAGCATACAGTTTTTTGCAGAGGCAGTTCATAATTAGAAACAGTGAGCTTCCTCTGAGTGGCTTTGTGCCACATCACTGCTCTAGTGTCTGAAAACTAAAAAACAAATAGAGCTGCTACTGGTGCAGAAACTCACCAAATACATGAGACCTGGCAGATCACATACACAGTTGTCTGAAATCATGTAGAAACAAGTTCAGGTTCAGTTATCAACTAGAAATTTGAAACACGAAGGCTTAGTAAGGACTGCGAATTTTTTTTAGTTCCTAAAGCACTAAGTGGATAAGTTAGTTTGCCCTGTAATAATAATACTAACAATAATAATAGTAACATTTATTGGGTTTTTACTCTGTACCAAATTCTTTGCTAAGAGTTTTACATATATTTTGCATATAATCCTCAAAACAGCCTTTTAAGCATAGGGACTAATAGTATTGCCATTTTACTGAGAAAACTCAGGCATAAAAAGGTTAAGATCTGAATGTCATTAAGTGGTAGAGCCAGGATAGTCTTCTAACCTTTATATATTTTCAGATTAACAAAATTAGAGGTGATTTTAATTGCCAAAAACAGAATGTCTTTTACTTGGTTTCACTGTCAACACCGAGCTTTCTTTATCCATTGAAAGGAAGCCTTGTATTTTAATATCAGTTAAAAAAAATCTATCATGAATTTTAATGTTGTGATTTTAGATTTTTCTAATAGCTGTATTTATTTTTTTCTTCAATAGAATTGAAGCAATTTATCACATTGAAGTAAAGCAAAAGAAGAAAACTCATGGCTTATTGATCCCATTTTTATTAATTGAGTTGGAGACTGTGGGGAATATCCATTTTGAAGAAGGCACTCGATCTGACGACTGGTAAATCTGTTTGAAATTTAGGTATAGCTTTATAAATAATTTTAAGTACTCAGGATCATCAATCAGAATATCAACTTATAAAATCTTAAAATGTCCTATTTTTAAAACATTTCTCATGCAGAATATTCATCTATTGAAAATTGGCACTTACCTGCCAATTTTGTCACCTATACATTTCTCTGTTTACACCATTGTGGTGATCCAACTTTGAAGACATCCTAATGAATGTCTTTGCTCTTTACCCAATTTTCCTTAGCCCAAGAACAGAATATAATTCAGAAAAAAAATAATTTATCATCAATTATTAATTTTTATGTATGTTTATACTATTTGTTTCTGGACTGGATATAGCCCTGGATTATGAATATTGGTTGAGAAGGTAGAACAGAGCAGGGATGCCAAAGTAGGATTGGTGACAGCAGGTTGCAAACATGGGAGGAGGATATCTAGCAAATTTGTGGGTCCATGGCCTGTTGTTTAGAGTTAGCTTCAGTCAGGGTATACTTGAACACTGCACATTAGAATAGGGTATATGCTTAAACCAGGAATTCAGGTCAAAAGCCCACATAGACAAAAATGGAGAGAGCCACCAGGAACAAAAAGCAGGTATCCATGCTTTAGAACCAAGGCCTACTTGTTGAAACAAGGAAGTCATTGCGTTGCTTAAACTAGAGGGCACAATTAGAAATGACCTTTAAAAAAAAAAAAGAAAAAAGAGAGCCTTGAAGAGTGAATGATATTATTAGTTATAACTTTTTATATTTCTGGAGTCATTTTTTTTTTTAAATTGAGAAGCCTGTGAAACAGCCAAAGATTGCCCTAGAGCCATAATGTGAACCTGGGTATGTGAAGATAGCTAGGAGGCATGTGAAGCTATAGAGTGGACTTGGCACGTCACCCTGAAGCATGATTTAACTTGAAGTCAGTGTCAAAACAAATACTGACTTTTATGGAATGGAATGCAAAATATGCATTAGCTTTTTAGAAAAAAAGTGTGATTGTTATGGGTTACTTTAAACCAAACCCCCTGATTTCTATTAGACATGGCTTTTTACTCTGTGAATAAAAGCTTCTCAAGTGTCTTAGGGGTTCTCTGGTGTGAGCTCTTCCCAAGGGAAAAAGAGACCTTTTAAAATACTTTCTTTTAAGTACGTACACCATTTGCCCAGCAGTTACCACTGTTTGCTTACCCATAATACTTGATTTTTATGTACAAAGATGTAAAAGGTGTTCATCCCAGTTCTCATGTAAACCAATAAAGGCCTTGATTTTTCCAGTGCAAAAACTGAATGGTGTCTCTTTTCAGGGTGCACAAATAATTTTTCAATCTTTCATTTATATTCACTCAACCTGAACATAATTGCTTATTATTTCTGTTTCTCTTTAACCTATTGCAAAGTAAGGTTTTTACAAAACAAGCAGGTAAGTGAAAAAAAACGTAAAACAAAATGACTAAAAAGCCATTTAGATAACTATGTCAGCCTGATAGTAAATTAAATAGCTTTGAGGGATTTTGATAAGCATTAATAATTGTTTACTTAGTTTTAATAAGAATACCCTTGATCCATTCTAAGAAGAAGATCAAATATATGTTGGCAGAATTTAAAAGACAGTTTTTTACTTTAGCACACTGCAAACTTGGCTACCTTAGCTCTGATCTTTTATGTATGTTAAGAAATAACTGCTAAATTGCTTTGACTTGCTATGTACTACATGTCTAGTGTTTTATTTAAACATTGACTTCTCTTTTATTAGTATTTTTAAGGCTAAGAATTTAGTATTTAAATAAAAAGTATCATACTTGAGTAGAGGTAGAACTCAAATAGAAAGGTTTTCTATTTCTTTAACAAAAAAAAGCATTGCAGATTTCTAATTGTGTATCATTCAATATTTCTTAGTTTCATTTCTTTTATGAAATAAAATTATTATATTTTTCAGTTTTAAAAAATCCTTATTTTACAGAGATTTGCTAGTTGAGTAGATCATTGCCACTATAGTTTTATCATTATAGATTCATATTATTTACCTATGTATTGCCAATAGAGTTACCCATTGACATCAGAAAACATTTATCAAGTAGGGACTCTAAAGCATAAAAGATGCTGTCCTTGTGCTTGAGAAGCTTTCTACCTGGTTATGGATACAATGTACTTATAATTAAAAATATAACTTTAAAGTGCCACAAGACAATATATAAGTGATTCTATACATTACCTGGGGACAGATATGATGTTTCATGTGTCTTATAAGTCATAGCACAGATCTGGATTGATAGCCCAGTAGATAATTACTCATTGAAGCTTCCATATCACTTTATAGATACTCAACTGTTTCATTTTTGTGTATATAATGACTTTCAGTAATTAAACTAACTGTATATAAATATTTCATGAGTTACTATTTTAAGGAGCTATAGCAGCAGAAACTTTTTGATTTATACTGATAAGATATTGGCTTAAGTCACTAAGTCAAGTAATAGAATTTATTAAACCCTTGTCTAGCATTATGAAGTGCATTTTAATAGGCAAGATTAAGCTCCAACCATTTAAAAACACATGCATTCTACATTTGCTAAATGAACACATCTTTTTAGTAACAAAAATTTGTGGGTATCTTTCTGTATAATGAATATCTTATCAATGATGTAAATCACTGTGGTTGCTTATACACTCAGGCCCCACTGAATGAGTGAGGGTACCCACTGAAATGAGAGGCCCTCATTCTCCTGACCATTGCAGTAGTTGACACTGTTAACTATTTCTTCCTTATAACTCCATCATCTCTCTTATTTTTTTTGGACTCAGACATTTTGTATTTTCTTTTTATGCCTTCCCTTGCCAGTCTCTTCTACTCCTGTACTTTCACAAATTACTTATAGCTACAACCTCTCTCCTAGACTCCAGCCCTGAATTCCTGTCTATTAGACATTTCTATCTGGATGTCCAACTGGCAAGGCAAACTCAGTACATTCAAAAGGAAGTCAGCTGTGAAGTAATAGAATACATAAAGAAGTTAGAGACAGAAGACATAGGTTCAAACTCTCTGCAGAATCTTAAAACAACTATTTAATACATCTGAACCTCAGCTGTAAAATTCTGTCCCTCAATCTCCACATCCAATCAGGTGCCAAGACCCACAGGTTCTCCTCCATACTGTCTGTTTCATTCATTCTTTCCTGTCCATCGTGACCAAAATCACCTGCACACAGCTGTTTATAATCTCCAACTTAGATTATTGCTACAACACCTAATGCAGTGCCTGCATGTAGTAGGTAGGCATGCAGCATTTGTTAATCAATCAGTAAAGATTCCTGAATGGTCTTTCATATGATCCCTGTTGACATGCTTCCTACACAGAAAGCACTCTGTTAAAAACAAAACAAAAGCCTTTGTAGCTATCTGTTACCTTCCAAATTACATTCTGACTCTTCACCTATAGTGGAGGATTCAGCGTTTCCACCCTATGGTCTCTAAACTAACACTCCTTTCCAGATCTTTTAGAGTCAGCTGAACTGTGTGCCTTGGAGCATACCCAGAACTCCACCACATAAGTGGTTTTGTTTGTTTGGCTTCCTTCACTCAGAATGCCTTTGCATCCCTCACCCTCACCCCATCATTGCTCAGCTGCTGAATTCCCAGGCAAACAAAAGCTCTATGGAAAGGATCACACTTCATGAAGTTTCCTGTGCCCATTCCTGCTTCCTGCATTCCTGGGGTACCAGACTAGAAGCTAGGTATTGTCTATTCATCCCTTCCACCAATTCTTGAGAACCCTTGAGCCCTACTAAGATGTCCACTGTATAACAAAAATGTTATCTAAAATGTCTACAGCATTAGTTTCTACCAAAATACAGGAAGTGCAATAATGATAGTTTCAGTGTTACCAGGGAGTTTATTTACGGAAGACTTGACAGATTTAGGCCAAGCAAATGATCCCTCTATAGGAGGAGCGGCAGGTTTCCCACCCCAGATGATAATGTGGCTGGTTTATGAGACGTCTGAACTGGTTAGCAGGTAGAATGCTGATTGCAACACTATTCATATCTGGCTCCTCTACCAGAATGTGAACTCTGGGATTAGTTTGGTTTGGGGAGCTCTCTTTTCAACTCTAAGGGAGAAGTAATTGGCAAGCTCCTGGCTGTACTGATTAAGTCTTTGCTAGTGAGAAAGGCAGATGCTCTAGGCTAGAAACTCAGATTTATTAGGCTCAGGGAGAAACTGACCACCCATCAGGAAGCTCACTTCTGTGATCTGAGCTCACATTCATGTTCAGGTCCTGGTTGATTATGTAGGTGAGGACCTAGACATGTCATTAAAGGCAAATGTATGCCACATAGGATCACTTACTTCTCAAAATGATCCATTTTTCAATCTCATCTTAATCTAGATTCTCTGCTACTTTTAAGACAGGACCTTAGTTTTATGATCATGGCCAGGAGAGGGCAGCAGAGAGCAAACAAGCACTTCACTACTTGTTCTCATCTTCACATATCTGGCCCCTCCTTCTGTTCTCAGATCAAATACCTTCTCTGAAAGATCTTCCCCAAGACCCTATCTTAAGTAAGTCCCCTCTGCATTACTTACCTCAAGCCTCTCGTTCTTCAAAGCCGTTATCAGTTTAAGAAATTATTTTATTTATGGCTTGTTTATTTTCTGTCTACCCCCCTCCCCCTCCCCTTGGAATATAGGCTTCATGAGAGCAGAGACGCTTCCTCTTTCATGTCTAAATTCCCACTTAGGAAGTTATTGAAATAGTCCAACTGAGAGATAATGGTGATTTGGACCTGTTTGGTAACAGTGGTAATGATGAAATATGGTCATATTCAGGAAGTATTTTAGATGTAGAGCCAAACAGACTTGCTAAAGAATTAGATACTGGGGAGGAAGAGAGGAGAGTGTTATTCTTGCAGTTTTAACTTAAGCTACCAGTTAGATGGTGATGCCCTATACTGAGATGGAGAGCACTCAGGAGGATCAGGTTTGGGGGCAGGTGTCAGATAAGTTAGGTATGAGAAGCCTATTTAATATGCAAGCAGATATGTCAACTTGATAGTTGGATATTCAACTCTGGGCATAACTAGCTAAAATGGGTGGAGATCAAGGCTAGAAATAAAATGTAGGTTATCAACATATATATAAAGACAAAGAACCAAATGAAATCACTTAGGGAGAGTGTTCATGGAAGCAAGGGGAAGGCCAAAGTGATCCCTGAGGCAATCCAACATTTAGAAGTCTGTCTGAGAAGAAACAGCAAAGAAAACTATGAAGGAGCAGCCAGTCATAAGAAATCCAGGAATATGTAGTTTCACTGAAGCTGGGAAAAAAAGTGTTTCAGAAAGGGAAGATTGCTCAACCAACGTATCTTTTAGGTAGACCAAGTATATGCAAAAAAAAAATCGATAAAGAAGTTATTGTTTTTATAATATTTCAAAATTTAGCATTTCTTTTATTGATTAAGTATCTGCTACTCTATGATTACTGTATGTATCTTTAGCAAAAGACAAAATATGAGCTATAACTTATACGTAACTTTGTGTTTTTGAACGTTTTAAGTAAAATCTGTTATTTTCTTTATGTATTTTCTGTATTCCCCCCAGGTTTAATTCCTGCTATGAATTAATTCTGTCACGTTTTTGTACATGGGACTTCAGAACATATGGTATTACAGGAATAAAAGTAAAACGTGTCATTAAAGTTAACAACCGCATTCTGAGACTAAAATTTGAAGAGAAATTTCAAAAGTTTTTGGACAATGAAGATATGCATGATCCGGAGTAAGAATCTGAATTCTCTAAGGAACAATTTTATAAAAGTTTGACTTTATTTTGTAAAACAATCTTTCTGTTTTAAAAGTTTACAGTATTGAAAATACACCTTGTTAGTAAATGTTTCCTTTTTATGCATCTCCCATGGCTAGGATGACTTCCTAATTTATCCACACTGGGCCTCTTTTGGAGAATAAAGTGAGGGGATTAGCTCTTAATAATGATGCTGGAATATTGGATGCAAATGGGAAGTATCGCTGGCAGGACGTATGGTTGTCTTATCTATGGCTAAGCTTTTGTGAAATAAATTCTCAAACTTTTTCTGTTTCAATTATTCTTAAGGAGCTATCGAAAGATGCTAGAATGCCTTTTTTATGTTTTTGATCCTGAAGTTACAGTGAAGAAAAAGCATCTGCTACAAATACTTGAAAAAGGTTTCAAAGAGAGTCAAACAAGCAAGGTAGAGTAAAATGTCATTTAGAATAATGCTTTCTTCCTAACAAGTAGAGCTCTGCTACTGGTTAAGCATGATTTTCAATCCTTTTATTCATATTTATAGCAAACTTCTGCTGTTTCATAAAAAGCTTAGTGTTATTATTGAAAGTATAGCATCTTTCCCCTTTGGATTATACCAGAGTAAGTCCATTAATTACTTTTTCTGCCTGACTCTACTTAATCCATCTAGGCATATTATTTTTATGTTGTGATACTTTTGTTGATGATTTTAAAATCTGCTTCTGTAATTGGCTAAAAGGCTGTTATAAATGTTTAATCTATTGTAAACTCTCCAGAGTCTTTTCCACCTTGAAAAAATCCAGTACAGTAACTCTGCTGTACTTTCTAGCTATCGTCCTGTTTTCTCTTTCCTTTTTTCTGTCACCATTTCTTTCCTCTCTACTTCACAGCCTCTACCTTGCTGCTGATACTGCTTTATCACTGGTGACTCCTGAGCTCCAAAATACCCAACCAGCTTTTCTCAGACCTCTACCCTCTTGATGAGGCAGCTGTAGCTGATATACAGTAGTTCTTCCCAACTCTTTTCACATGACGGCACACATAAAATGATAACATTGCTACATTTGAATCCTGGCTTCACTACTCATCAGCTATGTGATTTCACCTCTCTATGCCTCTTTCTTTCTATCTGTAAAACGAAGATAAAAATAGTATCTATTTTGCAGAGTTGTTATTAGGACTTAGTGAGATAATGCATTAAAAAGTTCTTGGATATTTGTATACCAATGTTCATAGCATCACTATTCAAATAGCCAAAAAAGTAGAAACAATGCAAATATGTATCAACAGACAAATGGATAAATAAAATATATGATAAACATACAATGGAATATTATTCAGCCATAAAAATGAAATTCTGAAACATGCTACAACATGGGAGAACCTTAAAAACATTATGCTAGTGAATTTTTTT